ACTTTGGACCTTTATACTGTAGCTTTGCTGCAGGTGCACTCCTAGGAGAAAGCAGAGTTACCCAGAATATAATATGTTAGTGGTAATGGCAAGCAGGACAACAGACCTTGTTCATAGGAAGGATTAAGCTCCTCATGTTTAAAAGATAATACAAAGAGTGGGTGGTGCTGAATTCCCTTTGTCCATTTGATCTTAGCAGCTGTTCCTGAAGTTGATGGTATTCAAAGGAGAACTCCCCAGGCACTCTCCTCTGCATCCTGGATTGGGTTTGGTTAAAAGCCTTTTGAAAAAAGGCTACCCAGGAAAGGAAAAGTCTTTGGGAGATGCATTCAGGCAAGACTGTCAGGGGAAATTTTACCTTATGGAAAAATGTAGCCCAACACAATCCTTCATTGATAATACACCAATGTGGTATAACATAGTCTTTGTAAAACACACCTTTCTAACGTGGTTCATAACAGAGATTTTGGTGTTCATAAGTAGGATTTTGGTGTAGGGAAAGGGGGGTGTCATTGGAAGTTTAAGGTCCTAAGGGATACAGTAAAGGATAACATCAAATATTTCCGTGCTCTCTTGAGTAACATCATAAATATCCTGTAGTGGATGTCAAGTCTTTGACAGTAACCCAAATTTTAAGAGTAAAATTCCTTAAATGGGATTTTCCTTCTTTACTTGGGTTTGCTTTAATTTAATGAAGAGAATTATGAGGAGAATCCTTTCATTTTGCTTTATAATTCAGCAGTTTAAAAAAACTCAAACAACTGGTGTTATTTCATAGCTGTTCCACTCTGTCATATAGACAATTATCCTTAAAATTAATTTTAGTTCCATTTCTTTAATAAACATATTTTATAGAATAAACTATTATAGAAATTTTTAAGATGCATTTATCATTTTTTCTTTGTAATTCTTTGCTAAAAAGTAGGATTAAGAATTATAACAGGAAAAATATTCAAGAACCAGAGAAAACTAGTTGTTTTGTGAAATGGGATATACAAAATACCTCTAAAAACTTAAATTCAGGTTGGATTAAACTATAACACGAACAGTAGGGCAAACAGGGTCCTACAATCCAGAAAGAGGTGGACTGATTCACAGTTTGTTTGCATTTCAATTCAAACTCATCTTCTTAGGTACATTCAAAAATGCTGTTTGCTGGAGTGGTTTCTATGGCAGTGTCCTGCTTGATTACAAATCAGCAGGGCTGACAAACACTGGACATGCAGAAGCTCATTAAAATGTCTGATCCTGTTATGCAATAGGCCAGTGGCAGCCTGTGACTCCTTTATTGTCTCTTGGTGTAAGAACTGTGTCTCGACAAAGCCCAGCTCATGGGCCTTTCATGTCTCTTTGTGGAGATGCATAAAAATAACCTCATAAGCCAGTCTGTGGGTTGTGCTGTGCACTAGTAAGCACTTTAAGGTTTGCTCTTGGTTCTAGCTCGCACATTAGAAGCTCCAGTCATGTACTGATCTTAACAGATACCTCTGGAACCCATTGGAGGCTCCAAAAATGCAGAGACCTATAGTAGGATACAGGACTTTACACCTGTGCGATTCAGTCCCTCCTCTCCCCCAGTGTCCCACTACATGAGAGTCACTTGGCTTAGTATTTAAAAGACATTCAACTTTTGTCTGAAAGTTTCCTCTGCTCTTGCACTTGGACTGTGAGATTTCAGGCTAATCCCTGTTAGATTAAAAAAAGTAGAGAAAAAGATGCTTATCTCTCCCCAGGGGTTTGACCAAGGACACCAACAGTCACAAAAAAAAGTCGTGGTGCTGAACCAGAGCCATGGAAAGCAAACTAAGCATCAGGGATCCAAGGTGGTGCAACACAAAAAGGATGATGACTCAGCAGAAAAGAAACTACAGCCAAAACTTTTGAACAAGAGTGCCTCAGGGTGAGTGACAAGATGCCAACTAAATCACGGGCTGTCATTGTTTCACTGCTCCTCCCCAAACTTGTCTACACAGTTATGCTTTTGCACCCTTGTCTGAGTCAGTTCAGCTCATTAATTCTATTTATTTTAATTTTTTTTTGTTGGGCTAGTGTTCCAACAGCTTAGCAAGTGAATTGGTTCACGGAGCATTCCACATATGCTAGAGGCAGTATAAGACAACCCAGGAGAGGAGAGAGGGAAAAGAAAGAATGGGGAGAGGAATGGGATTCCCCAGTTCTAATGTTAATGAGGCATTAGATACTAATCCCTTTCAGGGACCTACACGTCTCTGCAACCTTATTTCTGGTGAAAGATGAGAGCATTTATTTACTTCATTTAACTATCTCCACACATGATAGGGCTACCATAGGCACTCAGATTTTCCTTCCATTCTGGGAAGCAGGCACGAGGTAAGCTTTCATTGGATTTACACCAAGGACATTTGGAGGAGGATAAAACATCAGATGGCTACAAAGCCTCTAGCAACTCAGGTTCCCTTCTGAAATCATTGAGACTGTTAACAGTTCAAGAGACCTCTCATGAGGTAAGGAGCAACACAGGCAATGCCATTTAGTTCAGCTGTGTTGAAGAGTTTCAGTGATGCAGATACTTCATGACAAATGTTGATGTTAGTAGCAATAGCAACTCATGCCATGAAACAATTGTTCACGTGTCCTGTACTACACATACACCATCTTCAGAGAAGACGTGCAGTATTTTGCATATCTGTTTCAATCTCCATCTGAAAAAACTACACAAAAATTTGTTCAACATCTCACACTCATGAAATACCACTATAGGCAGGGCTAAATGTCACTGAATCTTTAGCGTCTAACTGCTCTCCTTCATTAGGACAGCTGCTGAGATAGTTGTGTTAATGCCATTACCAAACACCAAGGCATTTAGAAGTGGTTGAAATTGTTGCAGTGTGTTTGTAAAGGAGGAAGAGCGAAAAGTAGCGCCAGAGAAATAAAGAGAAGCTCCCACAGCTCGTGAAAAGCAGGGAAATAGCATTTCAGAAGAAAGCAGTGAATGAAGAGTGTTAATGTGGTGTCCACAGGAACAGGGTGTGGTTTCTCTGACCTCTTCCCCATCATGAAAACAAGACTTCTTTTGTTGTCTGCAAATAAACAAACCTGTGTCATAGTTCAGCACCCCAAAATAAGCACAGAACCTCAAACTCTGGAGGCTAATCAGAGAAAAGGGAGCAGAAGTGGTGTTAATTTTAAACATGTGGGAACTGAGGCACCAAAGTATTAAGTGTATTTTCACAGAAATCCATTCCACAGCCGAGGGCTGTAATTTGTTTTCTTAGCTCAAATTTCAGTTAATTAGGACATTAAATTTCAATAGAAATATGCCCCTGACACTCTCAGCTGAGTTTACCCTTCATTTAGCAGTCCTATGGAGCAACACAGCCCTGGGAGCTACCAGGAGTGATGCTGCATGCAAATACAAATCTCCTTCCATGAGAAAATTTACTGTGTTATCATTTATTGACTGTAAAAAGAATTATACACGTGTCAGAAGAGAAGAATTAAAGCTTTCACCCAGTGCTACTATCAACCATACGGCAAAATATTTCAGAAAATAAAATGTCTGGAATCATATTTTACCACAACACAGTCCTTTCAGTCTGATGCACTCACAAAACAACAGTAAGTGTTGGAAAAGCAATACAACATAATCATTTCAGTCCTATCTCTCTTTAGCTGGTCTCTGACTAGCTTGCAGAGCCATCAAACTACAGTTATCCTCACAGAATACAGCTGATGCTCTTGTTTTTAAGCTTTCTCATCTGCAAGTAGTTTCAAACAATGCCTCTCCCAAGAGAGGTGCTTTGTGTCACACCGCTGGAGTACAATCTGAGACTGGGCGAGTTAAAGACCCTTAAATCAAAATCCTTTCTTTTAGGATGAGCTCAGCAAAGCGTTAAGAAACCATTGTACCTGTGATTCTGTATCACACTTAAGTTTGGCAAGTGCTGATACACTAGTGCCTGTGTTTAACTTAAACTTCATGTGCACAAGTGCCATCACCTCTTAGGAGAAAAAAAAAAAAAGTGAATTTCAAGACAGATTACTGGCTGAAAGGAAACTAACTATTTAGAAAAAATGCAATATTCAAGCTAATATCTTAAAAGTAAACCCAAATACTTCTGGTTTAAAATAAATGTTAAGGACAATAATATGAAATTGAGCAGTATCTCTCAGCTCTGCCCAGACATGCTGTCTCTGCAGATAGCTGGCCTGCCTCTTGCACCCTGTGCCTGCAACAGAAATGCAAAGGCAAAGCCAAAAATGAAGAAAATGCTTTTAAATCTAAATGTTTAAAGATAATAAGAAAATCTTGGTAATGTGGGTTCTTTTCTCCTTGGTTCTTAATCTGAAACCTGCACAAAGAAACTTTTCATTCACTGGCACCCACAGTTTAAACTCAACAAATACAGCTAGTACAGTAGCTCTCTGTCCAGAACTGGGAAGAGAACAATTCTTACCGATCTCTAGGGTAATATTTTAAGAAAGGTTTTCTGTTATTTGAAGAAATAAAGTGAGCTGCTTTAAAAACAGACTGAGGCCAACAAATGGATCTTTAAAAATGTCCTTAAGTGAAGTAATTTTTGTAAAATTGTTGTCAGAGTTGCATTCAGCAAACACCTGAACATTCCACTCCCTACGCTTTGGTTATTTCTTTGAATATCTGCAGAAAAAACATCTTATGTTGGATGCTGGGGTCACGGTAACAATTGTGTTATGCACCTCTTCAGTCATTGTCCAGGCTGTGACATGTGCTTTAGGACTCTTGGATTATTATTATTATTATTATTATTATTATTATTATTGTTATTGTTATTGTTATTGTTATTATTATTATTATATATGGTCCCTTTTAAAGGAAAACTGGTATTCTACATTGTACGATTGGAATTTCAAAAAGTTAGAGTGCCCTTTCGAAATGAAGCCAAAGACATCTTTTTAAATAGCTGGGGTGGAGCATAAAGGGAACACATTTAAAAAAAAAAAAAAAGAGGCACTCTTTCAAATAAATATTATCATGAAACATGGCAGAAAAGGTTTGTCATATTGAAATCACTTCAACTGCTGAAAATTGCAAAAGAAAAAATACAAGTAATGGTGATTTGGTTTAGGTTCCATCATAAATTATGCTGTTATTTCTGTCTCCACATCCACATAGCTGACAGTTACCTTTCCCTGGTGACTGAAGTACACTTCCTGGATCTTGAAAGGCAGTTGCAAGATGGGGTAAGGGATCCCTCATCTAGAATAAAGCCGTCTTGATTTTAATTTCAAACATCCAGTATTTTGTGTGTGTGTGAAATTGCCAATAGAAGGAATATGTCAGGGGTTCGTAAGGAAAAAAAAACTCCTATATTTCCCTCTTATACTCTCTGTAGGAAGGGGAAAAACTTCTGTTTAGTGGTACACAATTTAATGCCCTGATTTAATGCCAAGTTTTAGAGCAGAGGATTTAAGACATTACTACCTACAATTGTTTTCTTCCCCTCTTGCTGGAGATGACTGCCTCTGGAATATCAAGTAGAGCAGCTAAGAGAGGAACGTCTATTCCTTCGTGGCAGACTTGTCTTCTGGAAAGGAAAAAAACACAGTATGGCTGCACAGCACAGACAGCGAGGGATGAACAGTGTCGGTGTGTGGAGAGCTTGCAAGGGAAAACATCTGAGGGGCTCCCAAGTGGCATTGTTGCTCACACTTTCTATTACTAGAGCAGGGCTCAGTGCCATCTCCAAGTGGGAATTTAATCATGGAAAGCATCAGCATGAGATAGTACACAGATCTGGTGTCTAAGGATGTAAATGTGTGGAGGTTTTGGGCCAGTACTACACCCTGTGTTTCTCTCAGGGGTAAAATGAAAGCCCTTTCAGAGGGGAAGGCTGCAGGGCAATCATGGGAACACCTCAGCACTGCACCATGTCCTGAGAGCCCCAAGGTTTCCCTGTGGGCTTCAAGAGATCACAAATCTTGAGGTGCTGCACACAGACCTGAGGATGGTAAGAAGTACAGCAATCCATGTCCCGTGATTCTGCAGACAGAGGCAGAATTGGTCTGGTTTCAAATATATATATACAGTTTAAAATGTTAAAAACAGTAAAGAGATTTTATAAGGAAGATAGCACAACCCACATGTGGAGAAAATTTTGCAATTTCTTAACAAACACTTTTTTCTTCTGATCTTAATGTGTCCAGCATTCAGCTCTGAGCTTATTACTGATAGAGACTCTGAGCTCTCCTGCAGCCTCTGCCAGCTGGGGACCACAGTACCATGACCACCTGCCCAGTTCAGGTCTCTGAAGTTTTGGGGGCTAATGTTAGGTCATTCATCTCTTCCTCTTTTCCTGAATAATGCCTAAATAGTCTGCATGATGAGAATGGGGATTTGAAATTGCTTTCCTTGAGTCGAAACATGGGGGTAGCCTGCAAAGGCTTTCAAAGGGAGAGACTGTTGCTGCAATTCCTGCTGGGAAGAGACAGGGCGTAAAGTCAAATGTCTAAACGCAGTAAAAGCCATTAATAATTACAAATATAAGCGCTTATTTTCTGTGGAAAATTGCGTATAGCAGTGGTATTTAAACTCTCCTCTTTGAGGTAGTAGGTCAGTCAGAAGATGACAACTTTAGTTCAGTGGAACAATAGTGACATCCAGCGGTCAGTCAGCAAATTCAAAGCACTGCTTTTCCAGGGTTTCACTGGGATGCTGTGGTCTGCTTGTACATCTCACAGTCTGCCTGCAATTGCTTTTTTTTTTTTTAATTGAATGTGGTAGATAATATTTCTTCTTGAAACAGGGGTGTATTTGCAGTGCCATAGAAAGAGTAGAATATATTTTTTGAAGTCCAATAGTTAAAATGTTAATTCTCCAAGGCCCCACTTCCAGTTGGCAAGTAACTGTAGGGAGGGCATAGTCAGCCTTGGTGTGGACACATTTGATCTAAAGGCCCTCTTCTTATGAGGAACAAGGTCAAACAAACAATAATACATCATTGCAGCTATCTTCTGTGTTTCGTTCCTCTGACTGTCTAGAGGAAGATCTCTGTGCAGCTTTATTAAATCACCAGAAGTAATACTTTGGTTGCCGTAAATCCTTGGAAACTGATTTTTGCTCTGTCACTGAAGTCAGTTGCATCATGTCTCCTTACTAGCCATCATCTATATTAGGAAAATATCATTGTGTTGTGAGCTTTATACCATTTCTTCCCAGACTAAAAGCAAGTTTTAAGAGAATATGGTTTGCCATATTTGTTTTTAGAGTCTCATCTTTAAATTGTGGATGGAGAACTTCCATTCAAACCAGGCTAATCATCTTAATGCCCACCGCCTCTACTCCTACACTGGAAAGAAAGAGGGTGTTCACTCAGTAGAACTCTGAGTAGCTCACTTACATCCACTTTCTGTTACTGCCTTGAGATTTCAGCCAAACCGATGAACCTAACCCAGACACAGGAATGACAAATTTTTTGCTGCAATCTCAGTTCTGCAGGAAACACAATACTGTAATTACACTAAAATCTTGTAACAAGAAAAATATTTTTTCCCCTCAGATATACTCCTGACAACTTAAAAGGGCACTTGGGTTTGAGTTGTGAATCTTCACAGTCATAACATATTTGCACATCAGCCAAGGCAAAAACAAAATACTTATAATCCTGGATTGAGATCTCTGCAGTGTAGATATCGATATACCATCCATGATTCTCACACGTAATTGTGAATGCTCTGAATAGTATATCTTTCTGATTTCCACCTTAAAAGCTAAATTCAGTTTTTACTTTCAATGAAAGTAACAGCATAAAATATGAATTAAAGCTTTCCATCTGCCTGTGTTGATAGCATTCATGTCTGGCCTAAATAGAAGTCAAATGTAAGTTCTGTAGTGTTTAGCCCATTTCAGGTTCATACACTATCTTAACAACATTTGTGGTACTTATCAAATACTAAAATACAATTAATTATAATCAGGTGTTGTGACATCTGACAGAGAGAAACTAAATGAACTTCTCTAATTAGTTTGCTATTCTATAATTAAATTGTATGGCTGTCTAGTGATGATAACAAAAATTAAAATTAAAATTAAAAATAAAATTAAAAAATTTTAAAAGTAAAATAAAAATAAATTAATAGAAAATAAAAATAAAATAAAACCTACAAATAATATTAAAGAACGATATTCGTTGGGGTCGGATTTCACCTCTCTGGGCTGGGGCGGAAATCGCTGCTGCTGCCACCTGGCGGTGAAAGATAGGTACTGCGCATGTGCGATGACTCGTGGGTGACACCTGCTGACTGAAGCGCGGGATTGCAATCAAGAAGGGCACGCATGCGCAATGGCTCTACTATCGCTATGGAGATAGAGGAGGGGACGGGG